ATCAGGAGGTGAGGGAATGGGTGGATTGAAGGAATACAATCTTCTCTGTCTGTTGTGTGGTTGCGTTCTTCAAATTATAGGCTCACAGGTCCGGTCTTGCAAGAAGAAGTTAGAAGACAATCAAGGCCCTTGAAATCTAGTAGTTAAAATCATGGTCCTTTCCCAGGATGAATGCATATTGGATAGAAAGACAAACGAGATAGGGAATGCATCGTGCCGGAGTTGGGAGCCTTGACAATTAGAGCTCTAGTCTCCTTTGTGTCTGCTAAGACAACATGATATCTGAAAATTCGGGAAAGTGCATCCAACGAACTGCATCGCATTCGCCCGTAAAATCAGAGCCCCCATTTGCGGCCCTCTGTCCAAAAAGAAGGTCCAATTCCAATGTACTAGGGGTTTAAGGGATCCACACCCAAAGAAGCTTGTTCAAGCTATGTCACTCTTCAGGTGTTTTTTGTGCTTTCACCCGCCACTGTTCCTTTCCAATCGGGTTTTTCTCCAAAACAAAAGGCCTGGTAAAGCTGTCTGTGTCCTTACCGGTTTCCTTTAACTGCCGGCCAGCACAGGTTTGACCCATTTGACCCATTTTGAGATGCTTCAAAACCAAATCGCAAAAGCAACGGCGAATACAAATTCTCACGGCAAGCCTCTCAAGGTGCTTTCAAGAATTGGAGGCCCGTTTGATGTGTAAACCACAGGAAACCAATGTGAGCGGGCCAATATGCAGCTTCTCCAATGGACTTGCGTTCTCATTGAAATCTAGCGGCTGTCGACAACAAAAGTCCGGGCAGCGCCTGAATTCCTGACATGTTCTGGCCAGGTCCTCTTGCTCCTGCGCACGAAAGTGCTGCCAAGGTGTGCATGTGTGTGTGTGTGTGTCAAAACTGTAGAACCACAAATCTGACCAACCAACCAACCAACCAACCAACCAACCAACCAACCAGCCAACCAACCAAACCAACCAACCAGCCAGCCAGCCAACCAACCAACCAAGCACCTCTTCAAGAGCACCAACCTCTCGTCAGACGACTCCCCAGGTCTCCAAAATGGGGGGGAAGAAACGCCAGAATGGGTGGCTCTCCCTTTGGCCTCCCTAAGCCACCCCAAACTGGGCATCCAACTCCGACGCCTCCTGGGAAGTCCACCTCCGTCCAGCCGCGTGCCATATTCTGGGGCGCAGCCGGAGCCTTCAGACCTCGGGCGCTGGTGGCCGAAGGCCGTCAAATTTGTCCATGTAGAAACCCCACACCCATCCCACATACCCCACATACCCCACCTACCCCACATACCCCACGTACCACACCCAGACCCGCCCCATTGGGGTCTAGACCCAGCCTTAGGAACCCTAGCTGTTTTTCTCAAAGATGTTCATATATGAACCCTAGCACATGTTTATGGAAATTATTCAGCATTAGTTGTGGCTGAGTTGTGGAAAATCAGCCCACCAAGGGTCCCAAATCGCCATGGGATCATATATGGCCCTGCCGGCTGAAACGTGTCCAACGATGCCCTGACCAGTCCCAAACCAGGAGACTGCGCCTACCCTCAGGTCCCCGAGTTTATGGGAGAGTCATTAGGCCCCCAAAAAAAAACATGGTCTTTGGCCTCCTTAGTACCGATCCAAAGTCGACACGGGTTCAACCTCCAGTTTCTGACTGCACTAAAAGCAGCATTCACAAGACATGGCCATGGGTCACAATCCCGTAGCACTAAAATAGGTTCTAAAATGGGTGGTGAATTCACCTGCCAACCAAAATGGGATCCCATTGGTTGTGACAACCACAGCCACATGAGGGGGGGGCATGTCTTCTTGTTGACCCACTTGTTGCGGGCTCTTCTTTTCTTCGCGAGGGACATTCAAACCGACGGCAAAAACCGCAGCGAGAAATCTTGAGGCCTCCGCCAGAGGGCTTGGCCTTTCCTCGCGCGCCTTGCATCTCCTGGATTGCGAGAAGGGAATGAGGAATGGAAAGCGACTCGGAACTCCATGGAAATGGAAGAAATGGAATTTTGAAATGGAATGAGAAATGGAATTTTGAAATGGAATGAGAAATGGAATTTTGAAATGGAATGAGAAATGGAATTTTGAAATGGAATGAGAAATGGAATTTTGAAATGGAATGAGAAATGGAATTTTGAAATGGAATGAGAAATGGAATTTTGAAATGGAATGAGAAATGGAATTTTGAAATGGAATGAGAAATGAAATTTTGAAATGGAATGAGAAATGGAATTTTGAAATGGAATGAGAAATGGAATTTTGAAATGGAATGAGAAGTGGAATTTTGAAATGGAATGAGAAATGGAATTTTGAAATGGAATGAGAAATGGAATGAGAAATGGAATGAGGAATGGAATGAGAAATGGAATGAGAAATGGAATGAGAAATGGAATGACAAATGGAATGAGAAATGGAATGAGGAATGGAATGAGAAATGGAATGAGGAATGGAATGGAATGGATTGCCAAAAGGAAACCAACTCGGATGGATGGGTCTGGATTCCATTTCTCATTCACGGAGCACAAGCAAGATTTGCCATGCTTCATGTATCTACGCAGAAACGACGCATGCCGAAGTTCCATTGCATGCAGTCAGGGGTTCCCATCACACCCTCAAAAATGGGGGGGCGCTGTCCGACGTTTTTCTTGAACATGCTCGGTTTCGGCCAGGGTTTGAGAGTTCCGTATTGGGACCCTTTGCCGGGGTTGTCAAGTGGAGTGAAGCGCCACCCCATCCCGGCCGACGACCAAACTCCTCTTTGGGTGTCTCTCAATCGGGGAATTCTGGTGGCTGGCTTGTTTCTAAGACTGAGCAGGCCAAAACAAAGCCCAATTGGTTTCGCCCAATCAAAGCTCCATTGGTTTCTTGACAACTGGTGGGTTTCGCCCTAAGATGAAAACCTCAAAATACCCGCGCCCAATCTCAGCGAGCCATTGCCCATTGCCCAATCTCCCGCCGGGCCGCAGGCGCGGGTCCTCCATGGTGTGTGCGAACTGACATTCATCCGCAGTGTATCGGCACACACCCTGAAGCGGAGAGACATGAAGACGTCTCAAGGACTCAACACGGGTTCTACCCCGTTTCCTGCAAAAACATATTCTGCTGGCTAAAAACTACAGCAATATATATATATATATGTATATGCATACAATTACATACACAAAAAATATTGAATACATTGGAGGACCAGGAGTGCAATTTTCGGGGATACTCTGGACCACTCTGTTTCAAGGTCCAATGATTCTCTCTTTACTCCCAACGTGGTGTGACACACGACACACTCTTTCACGGCCTGCAAGTGGTACATGCAGAACTTGACCTTGGGCGTGGACTTGGGCTTCTTCCTGTCCTCACGGCTTCGACTCCAAAGCTTTTCGGGTTGAGGCCGACCCTGTTGAGCTCCCTATCTGTCGCTTCTCACAAACCGGGAGTTTTGGGGTGTGATTTGCGTCTTGGCACGGGGCGAGCCGTTGAAAAATCGGCAGCTCCACTTCGGTTGCGAGTGGTCGAAGGTTTGGCTGTTGAAACAAACGGTCCCAAAAGCCGCAAGAGTCTTCAGGGGATGAAGGATTGCCCCGAATTGAAATCCTTCGGGAACTCTGAGGTGTGAAAGAAAAATGACTCAAGGCTTTGGCTTCTTGAAAGAAGGCCTAGTTCATGTCTCCTCGAGCATTGCCCGTTGAGAAACCGGCAAGCAGGCAACGAAAGCACGGTTGCCCCTTCCTTGTGCCACGACAAACAAAGAAACATATTACCTAAAAAATGGGCTTCCCGAAAAGAAACTCTCAACAAACACACAAACCCATATGAGGCCGTTGTACTTCGCTGGTTCCTTTTAGGGCAATGCTCACTTCGTATGAATCGGAGGAGACTTAAGCAGAAAACCATCCACCGAACATGAACCGAATCCCCACTGAAAGAACTGCCATGGGAATCCCAAGTCCAGATTATGGGCCTCACAAACCCAGCCGCTAGCTCTTCCCTTGCAGGTTCCTCCTAAGTCCCCTTAAAACATCCGTCCAAATAGATGGCAAAAAAAAAAAAGAGTCTGCGTCGGGCAACCAAAGCTGCTGACGTTCCTCGCTTTGTTTCACCGACTGCAGGGCGTCCAAAGCCTCACGCCCAACGAGCCTCAGGGCCGCCAGCTTTTTGCTTTCGATGGAAAAACCCGAAACCCGGAGACCGGCCAAATTTCTCCGGTCCTGCGAGGGCTTCGGGGCCTTTTCGCCCCTTCTGCCCTCGCGCGAGACGCGACAAGACGCGCGAGCCATTTGGACGTTGCACGGCCTTCAATGGACGTTCTTTTCGGTGACGAATTTTGGTTGGAGTACCTTGATGTCCTGAATTGGAAACGACCCCTATGGACACTAAGGGAATTTGCGTCAGGGTCGCCGGTGAAAATCATAGCCTTCTTGGTGTCTTCTTCGCAAAATCCCTTACAGTCAAAAAACGGGGGTCCGCCATCTTCGCAAGCACTGGATAATTTAGAAGCTTCCCGACAGACTTGTGCGTCCATGTCCATCCCAAATGCGGCCGCTGGAAAGGGTGGGAAGCTCCGCAAAACGTTCTGTCCCATTTCGTTACAAGTCAACGTTCTCATTTCGTGGGCATTCAAAGCCCTGTCACACATTTGCAAAGAGCGGCACCCCTCCTCCACTCCCGCAGTCATTTGCCTCACGCGGGCGCACTGCGCTGGAAGTCCATACCAACCCACCTAATGGACAACCCATTCCTTGGACAAATACCCATTTTGGGCAACAAATATAAACAGCTGTTGACTTCAGATGAATCTGGACCGCACTGATCAAGGTCTTCCTTTTAGTTACTTCATTGTCTATTTAGGGGGGCTCCTCTGACTGGCAAGGCTGGATTAGTCCAAAGTCAACGCCATGAACAACTGCAAGCATTTCCGAGTAAAATTATTCAAGGGTGTACAAAAGATCACTTCCCCAAGTGCGGCGCCAAGCGTTCGCGCAGCTTAGCAGCTCGAACCAAAGCTGTCGAGTCAAGCTGTGGGTTTTGGTACGAGACAAAGTCCGAGGTTGACAAGGTATTGACCAAACCGCAAAAGGACCCTGCGGCGTGAAGTTGCACATTCACAGGATGGGGCCAACGGACCGTTCGGCGTGCGCCTTTGTCAAATCACAAAAGAATGAGGAAACACTCGGCTCGTGGTTGACTCGTGCGGTTGCAATTTCAGCGCCTGATTTTCCCGAAGCGCGTCAGATTCAAATTTACATGCCTGGTTGAGCTAGCACGGCCATCAAGCGGTCTACATCACTCGACTAACAAGCCTCGCGCACTTTATGACGTAAGGGCCATGACTCCAACTCGCTCAATACTGAGACATGCTCGCAACAAGCAGCGACCAGCAAACATTGTTAAACACGTAACATTCAATCCAAAACAAACCGTGCTTTGAAATGCTGTCGCGCTTCACCAAGTCGAAAGACTCTTCTTTGTCCCACCTTTAACAAACCAAAAATAGCAGTCAGGTGCGCATTCGCAGCGATTTGGTGAGCAAGTTCACCATTCAAATATAGATTGGTTGTTTGGGTTCTGCCCTCTTTTTTCGGCTAGCTTGGACTTGCTCGCTGCAGTTGCCCCACTTCGTTTTTTTGCCCCGATGCAGCGTTCCGTGTCAGGCACGCGTCTGCTCCAAGCAATGCGGTGAAAAGAAGAAAGAAACAGGCATCAGGTGAGACAGAAAAGGATGCCGTCGTGCAAGCCCCGAACGAAACAAACAGACAAACAAAACAGGAACACAGACAAAACACAAAACAGCCAACAGGAAAACAAACAAAGGGGGCACAGAGACCAGGCATATACAAGTGCTGTACACGCAAGCCTCTCACATGAAAGTAACTTCATGAAAAGCATATCAATCGCAGTTCTAGTTGACTGCTGAAGCCAGTGCTGCAAGAAAAGGCTCATTTGTAGCAAAAGAGAAAAGCCGCGCCCAGCGACCAGAATATCCATGCACAGCAATGGCAGATCATGGATCGAAGACGGATTGCAAGACTTTCGTCAAGCCAAAATATCCAAGCACAGCAAGGCCGATCATGGATCAGAGATAGATTGCAAAACCAAATGCAAGGCCTCAGTATCCAAGGAGACAACAAGCATGGAAATGGGCAAAGTCGAAACAATGATACCTCGTTCCAAAGCCAGCTTGAAACGTAGCAAGGAAAGTCGAAGTTCCCCAACTCCACAGAGATGGGCCCCCAAGTGTGTAATTCACAAGAAAGTGCCAGGCAGCCAAGTTGCACCGTCCCACCCATCCGTCAACAAGCCGACCCCTGCGAGAAGCGAAAAAAGCGCACCTATCCCAGAAATAAACTGGTACCTTTGTGGTAGTAGAGGATGGATTGTCCCTGGTGGATTGTCTTGTGGATAATCCTGTAAGCGGCCTGCAAGGATTCTTTTGTCTCGCTATCACGAGTGACGCAATGTTACACACCAAATGTTGCAGGAGATCAAGTGTTCAGTAAACCAAACACAAAACAGACACAAATTTCGTTTGATCTCCAGCACTAAGTATGAAATACTATTGGCTTCATGGCCTTTGGCCGTAGCCTTGATGTATGCCGTAGCCACGCTGTATGCCGTAGCCATGTGTATTAAAAATGCCGGATTCATTCTCTTTCCTGCTCGGATGAAATGTCTTGGCTTTCGAAGCGGAAAACACTATGTACTGCTTCCTTTTTGAAATACCTAAATGTATCAAAGGGTGATGTACAACGCTATGTACACGCGGGACGATTGGTCTCTCACTGTCTCGTCTTGTAGGCGGTGAGGATTGAGGATCAATCATCTGAATTGATTTCGTGGCGCTGAACGTATGAATCTTCATGGTCAGTCGGATCGACGATACCATTGGCGGCTGCTGTCGGATTGACTGCCATAGTCTCCATAATCATTCCAGGTCGAGGTGCTGTAGTCCTTCCACTGCTTCTGATGTCCCCGCTGCTTTGTTGTAGTCCTTGTGCTCCTGTGGCGTCCAGGCTTGTTTCTTCTTGAGGTACTCCTGGTATCTCTCAGAGTTGCCTGGTTGCAGATTTGCTGCGGATGTAAACCATGAGGGGACTGCGCGAGTCGGAGTCCTGCGAGCCATTCATGAACATGTCATTGTTCGCGGCTTAAAGCGCTCTGCGGATGTAATCGAATATGGCCTTGGTTGGATCGTTCCGATGAATTTCGGTTGTTCATCTTCCATGCCGTTCTCGTCCTTCCGGAAAGCCTGCTGGGTGTTCGTTTTGCCCCATCCAAATACGAAAGTCATTATCACATCTGGGAATGTTCGAAACTATCCTGTACAGGTCATGACGGAATACTGGGGCCAGCGGCTGGCCGGGCTGGCGCACGAGATCATGCTCAAGGCGAAGCGAGGGTGCCCGGGGCGGCAGAGAGGCAGAAGCCCTGGCCGGGCAGGGCGGCAAGTGTGCGGCTGCGACGGCCAGACCTGCAAGCTGGACCACGTCCTGCCGGTCCCAGGCCTTTGCGGGCAGCGCGCAAACTTGCTCAAAACGGCCAATCCCGAATTCCCGAAAAGCTCGTTTTTTCCTGTCAGACGGCAAGCGAGGCGCCTCAGCCTCTAGATTTACTCGGTTTCGGCCGAAAACAGGCTCCAGACGCGCACGCTGCGGAAAAGCTGGCAAGTTCCATCCCGCTGAGCTTGTCACCACTTGTCACCGCTACGTCACCGCTCTCTGTTGGGTCGAAAAAGTGCGCAAAAACGGTCAAGTTCCCAACTTCCCGAAGACTTCTTTCTTCACGCTTGTGACACGGCAACCTGCCGAACTTGTCACCGCCTTCGTCACCGGGTCTAACGCGCCAACCTGCCGAACGTCCTTGTCGCCAGGGCTAACACGCCAACCTGCCGAACGTCTTCGTCACCGGGTCTAACGCGCCAACCTGCCGAGCGTCCAGAGGGCTCGAAATCTTGGCAAGTTTGAGTCAATATTGAATCGGCTTGAAAAAATATTGGTTCATTAATGGGCAAAGGTTGCCCGTTCGCAGGCGGGATTCGAGCAGGGTGGTGCAGAGACAGCGCTTTAACCACTGAGACAAGGGAGCTTCTTTTGCTGGATAAAGCAGCCGGCGGAGCTTGTCACCGCTTGTCACCGCTATGATGTGGATTATTGCAAATATGGAATGAACTATAGGAAAAGGACACGGCTTTGGACTAACATAACATCATGGAAACCTAGACCATTATGTAATAGGGATTGTGGGAAAATTAGGAATGGGAAACACATTGAAACTGCCCAAAGACTACCAAGTGGGAAAAAAATCGGATTGGGGTGAGGGATACATCAAACATAAACAAGATGAGTTGTATAGGGTTCCTACTAATTTGATATGTGATATATTAGTTAAAACTCTTTTGCCCGACCTACCCGACCCGCCCGAGAGCTTGTAGATGTTGCAACGAGCAACGGGAAGAACGAAGCAAACCGCCACAGACTGAAGGATGGTATTTCGTGGTAAGATGGTGTTTATTTCTGGGTTGAATGGTGTTTATTTCTGGGTTGAATGATGGGTTGAACGGTGTTTATTTCCGATTGTCACGGCAAGTAATAGAAATATCCGTTGTGCTGATTGGAAATGCTATTAACAATGATGAACAAATGCCCTATTTCCAACTTCAATGGTTGATATTTACCCTACAGTCTGCACGGATTTGAAGACTGGTCTGTGTCAGCCTTCGCAGAGAATAGTTAAATTATTTTCAATGTATAACCATAATATAATTATAACATGTAACAACCTTATATGTTATAAATATACTGAACTTTTAACCTATAAATGAAAATTAGTGAGAAAAGCACTAACAAAACAAATACACCACCAACACCTCAGAACTTGATAACTACTAAAAGGGCCAACTCTTTCAAATGAAAAAAATGTCGGCCCCCAGCCCAACAATGAACAAGGCGACAATTTACCCAAATGATTACCTTAACGAAAACGATAAATAAGCTCCCTAAGGGGGAACACAGATTTGAGATGAACATAAAAACCAGAACAGGCAACCCTCAACAGGGTGCAAGAGGGGTGCAATCCCACGAGGCCTGCTTTGAGTGCAGAGAGAGTGGACAGGGGTTCGTTTTTTTTTTAAGTACTGGTCCGCCCAACCCGCTGGGGGGTTGATACTGGTTCGCCCAACGCGTTGGAGTTTGATACTGGTCCGCCCAACCCGTTTGGTTTGCCGAGGACCCCAAACCCTAAAGGGACATTTGCGCCGTTTTGCGCCACAAAATGCTATTCTTCCAGGGTGGACATACATGTCCACCCTGGAAGAATAGCTCGTTTTGCACGGTTTTGCACGGTTTTGCGCTGCAAAATGCTATTAGTCCCGTCCGTATATGAATATACACCCTGGACTAATAGCGTTTTGCACGGTTTTGCACGGTTTGCCCATGCAGCCCCACTCATTTGATTGGTTCGCCCAACCCGTTGGTTTCCCGAGCACCCCAAACCCTAACCCAAAAAGGAGCTGAGCAGGCTCCGGGAATTTCCCCCCTGCGCAATGTCTCAAAAACCTTTTTTCCCCCGAAAAGGGGCTGAGCAGGACCAGTCAATTCCGACGGAGCCTGAGCAATGCCTGAGAGCAAGTTTTTTTCGCTCGACCAGGATCAGGCAATTCCGCCTGAGTGTGATCAAACAGTTTATTTTTTGCCCGAGGTTCCCTGGACGCAGGGAGGCCTGGTCGCGCCTAAAAAAATCAGTATATTTTTCTAAGAAGGCTAGTCGAGGGTCCTGGGCCGCGGAGGCGCCAGGAAGTCGTCCAGCTCCTCAGCCGCCGGCCTGCCCCGTCTCGTCAGTCGGCCCGCCGCGTTGCCGCTGCCTTGCGGCGCCGGCAGCGCCAGCTTCCGCAGGGTCCCGGCCCTCCGTGCTCCGGACGGTCATGGAGTCCACGGCCCCCAGCTGCTGCACTTGTCGGCGTTGTCTTGGAGGACCCTGAACTCTGGCCGGCTGCTTCTCCACGTCCTCGGG